CCCCCCGCACACAGAGCACACACGCAGGGGTCTCACCAGGTCCGTCCTGAGCCACACCTCAATGTCGTCCATGACCGAGGACTGCACAACGGGGATCTGGGGCGCAGTCAGCAGCGGGGCAGGCAGCCACACAGCCACAGCGAAGGGAGACGGCACACCAGGACAAAAGAAAGTCGTCAAAACCACCCCAAATAAAACCAAAAGTACACATGGCAGACACACGCACACAAACCAGCCGGCACTGCAGCACAAGGCGACACAGGCAGCGCAGGGGAGATGGCGGTGGAGCACAGGGTGCCAAGGGGGAAGCAGCGCTGGCCAGCGGGTTCTGGGGAGAGGAGGGGAGGGGAGGGTGCCCGTACGCGTTCTTGAGATGGAGAACTTTTTGACTACAGGCCGGCCTGCGTGCTGGGTGACCTCAGCTGCAGGTTATGGCAAGACCAGGTCTGGCCCAGCCAAGGGCATGGCCAGCGTGCGGGCAGGGCCTGATGCCCTCGGAGGCTGTCGTTAGGGTCAGCTGGTTTGCCCAGCTGAAGCAATTTCAAAATGTTGTCTGGTGCCTTTCTGGGTGGGAGGCGAGCCCCGCCAAGCAGAGGCATGCACTGTTGCCAGCGTACAGACCAGGTGACAGAAGGCAGCCCACTTTGCTATCAATAGAAATGGCACAAAGGCGGACTTTGATGACAAAGGGGACTGTGGACTTCAGGCTGAGTGAGTCCTCTTTGTGTCTCTTCTGGGGACAATCATGAAGCAGCCCTGAATGCAACAGCTTCCTTTAGTGTCATCCTTTCTTCCTGTTCTTAATGGCCATCTGGGCTTCAGAGGTCAGAGAGGAGCCGCTCACTGGGGGAACTGTCAGGGGTGCGGTGGAGGGAGCTGGTCCCAGAGCAAACCCAGGGGCCCCTGCCAGTGCCGAGCAGACACCCTGTTCCCCTGATAGGGCCTCCCAGGCAGGACTCGGAACAATCCATCTGGCTATGAATGTTTCCGTTGCTGTCTGATATCTGAAGCCCTGTGAGCAGGCACGCTAACGAGATGTTGGCTCCCAGCCTGGAGAAATGAGCGGCCTGCCCTTCACCAAGCCGACCTGCTCTTCACCTCCCTTGCATCCAGCGGGGACTTCAGGGACTCGCTTGTAATCTCACTACTTCAAGGAGGAGAAAAAAAAAGAAAAATGCCTGCGTTGCATCAGGCCGCAACCAGTGAGAGCCCGCGGTTAGATTCAGGCCACAACAGCCAGTCGGTGGCTGCCCCTCACAAAGCTACACTTCCCTAACAAAGGGCCTGAGCAGATGAGCACAGGACTCAGACCAAAGCCCTGGCGGGACTCCCTCCTCTCTCCTGGAGGCCTGCTGCGGGTATGCTGGGCACACATTGGGTAGAAGAGGGGACTTCCAAGCCCAGCGGGGCCGAGGTTCACAAGGGTGAGCGGTGGCCCCACCTAGGGCTCCTGGCCCAAGCGCTCAGCTTGTTCCAAGGGCTTGTTTTGACGACCTGGGTGACTGCACTTGGTACCCTGGCTGCAAGCCCAGCACAGAGGGTCTATGTATGACTGGCATGAAGGCCCAAGCCAATCACGGGCACAGGAGGGCGTCTGTCCCCTGTATGACACCTGTTACTTTTGACTTAACATCATAAAGGACCCTAACTCCCGGAAACGAATTCTTTGGACGATGCACATGCTAAAGCCCCTGACCTGGGTGAACTCCCCGACCCGCAAGACCATCAGCAGGCAGCAAAGATGGCGGCCAATGCCATGCCTGACGTCAGGCCCCCCACTGCTGCTCTGGGCATGCGCGCTGGGCCTCTCTGCACTGCTTCACCTCATTCCCACCAGGGAGTGACCGCTTGTAAAAGCTTGTGAAAGTCGCCCAGCGGGCCATGGGCCTCAAAGCCTTCCGATTGTTCTTTGACTTTTTGGTTGAAAGCGAGTCCCTCGAGGTGGGCTCCCACTTTCCTCTCGAGGGTGAGCCTGAGGAGCAGCGTTCTCGGGAAATAAGCGCTGCATCTGAGAAGCTCCTGAGCCCGCTCCTGGACTTTCCAAGTTCACAGCTGTGTCCTACATGTAAGGACGGGTGACTTCCAGGTGTTCCTAGCTAGGCTCAGAGCAGGGAGGTGGTGGCAGGGCACCGGGCAAGGGTGGTGCTCAGGCGTTGGCCCACAGGCTGCAGGGCCCTGGGCAGGCTGCTCCACCACTCTGCCGGGCCCACTTCTTTCGCTGATAGCCTGCCCCTCGGGGCTTCAGGAGCCTCCGAGGGCCAGGGCAGGGGGTGCAGAGGGCAGGTGCTGGCTCCCGCACCGTCACTTGGGCAATTTTCTTCGCTTCGCTTTGGTTTCATCACCTGTGGAGCAAGTTCACTGCTGAGCTTCACTGGACTTCCAGCCTCTGGGCTGGTGTTGGCTGCCCAGCAGCACGGTGGCCTCCTGCGTCACCCCCTCTGTGGGTCGTGAGCTGGCTGCTGTGACCCACAGGCCTTTCAGAGGAAGCCTGCTGGACAGCAGAGCAATACACACACACACACACCCCACTGCTGGGGGAGGGGCGGCAGCTGGGTCTTAGCCAGGAATCACACGCAGGCCCATGGGAGTGGTTAGGAGTCTACCACTGGCCCCCTCAGCCCCAGACCTCCAGAGCAGTACTTCTTTCCCAAACCAGAAACCGAGGGAGGTGGTAAAAGATCAGGACGTTCTCTCCTTCCATTGCGAAGGCACCTGGCCCCAGGACTGAATCCCTCTGGCTCCCGGCTACTGGTTAAGCTTCCCGCTCAGCTTCTTGCGGTTGGAAACAATACCTTAGCTAATAAGCCTCCTGCCCTGTAAGTGAATGCCTTAGGTATTACAACAGGGCGAAGTTTCTTCTACCAAAGTAGGTGTGTCAGACGTAGGCTGAACACACTCAGCGAATTGTGCAGGAGGAAGAGGCAGTCCTGTGCCAGGCCGGCGAGGAGAAAAGAGGGCGCTACATGGTCAGGGGGCTGGGCAGGGCACCAGTCTCTCTGAGGCCTTGGTTTTGCCCCATCTGTCGGTGAGGGGCCGCCCAGCAGGGTCAGCAGGGAGCCGTGGATTTTGCGTCCTGTCAGGCAGCGGTCCAAGCTGGAGGTGTGTCCAAGGGTCTGCAGGAGAAGGTGCGGCAGAGGGCAGAGGCGCGGTCATCAGAGAGGTGCAAAGCCAGGAGAGGAAGGGCAGGACGCAGGGCCTTCTCCCTCGGCGGCCAGGCAGGGCGTGCTGCTGGGCCGTGCGGTGCAATGGCTGGAGGAGGCCTGCCTGACCCCAGTGCAAAAGGAAGTGGGCCCCTCGGACGTCAGATGTGGTCTGCAGGCTGTCGGTGACACTCACGTGGGTGTGGGGGCCCGGGTGGCTCAGAATCGTGCCAGGAGGGACACCTGTCCTGAGGGGACCTTAGCTAGGTGCCCACACCCCACAAACCTCAGGCTCTTTCTCAGCCCATTTTGTTCGGTGGTGAAACCTAGTCACTCAAATCAGGGCATCTTTCTGGATGCTACCATCATCTCAGATACCAACCCCCCCTCCCAGCTAAGGACCAGCTGGGCAATGCTAATAGATGCTCCCCAAGAGAAGGTGGGCAGGAGCACCCAAACACCACCCAGGCTCATCCCAGAGGCCACTGGGAGCCAACGGGCAGCTCACTGCTACAAGTCTGGTGTTGTCAGTCCACTTCTGCATCAACTGCACTGGCAGCCCTGAAGAGCCCTCCCCCTGCCCTGTCCCAGACCCACCAGGAAACCTAATGGACATCGGCAGCGACCCCCAAGAGGCTGCTCGAGCCTCCCTCCAATGGTTCACTCACCACCCCCGCTGTGAGGAAGCGGCCAGCCGTGGCTTGACCTTCCTCAGTAGGACAAAAAGTTTCCAAGTAAAGAATTTGTAGCGGAGACTTTTGGGAAGGGTTAGGGCTTTTACATTATGGAGACCAGGGCAAAGCGATTAATATGCATCGTTTTAAAACAAAACAAAACAAAACAAAACAATGGTAGCCAGGCAGGACGCCAGGTTAGCTGTTAATAGGGCATGTTTCAGGGGGGCTGGGGACTGGAGCTTTGTGTGGGGACAGGTGGAGGCAGCCTGTGGAAGCAGTCTCCGTTTTGACCACACTCTGGCTAGTTGTCACGGGCAGCATACTTTTTTGCAGGATTAGCAGGCACAGGACGCGTGGAAGGGGCCCTACCAGCTTGCACAGTGGCATGGATATGGTCTCTACCAGGGCCTACCATTTCCCCCCAGCAGTAAGCAGGGGCCCCCGGCCAGCATTCCTCGAGACGGCCTTCTCACTGAGAACCGCAGCTGCTGCTCGAGTGGGGGTGGGGCTACTCTACCTGGGCACGGCTAGACCAGGCGGACACTCCCCCCATAGCCTGGAAGGTCCTTCTAGGGCCAAACCCTTGCATGCCGGTCATCCCTGCCCAGGTAATGGGCAGCCCACCTGCTTGGGCCTGTCCCCGAGCCACTACTGATCCAGCACCCAGGACTGCCTAGGCCCCTCACCACTGTGTCTTCTGCTCCCCTTCCCCAGTTGGAGGGGCACCCCTGCAGGAGAGAGGGCCCACACGGTCACTTTGGGGTCATCTGGCCAGAGCTCTGAGGCCCCTGCTCCTTCATCAGAAGGGAACCGTGGCTTCTCCTCAGCAACCTCCCCAGGTGAGGTCACCTTCTCTCCAGGCAAACGCACGGTCGCCTTTTCACATGAGGTCTCTGTGCCAAGAGAGCTCTGCTTCATGACAACAGACTCTGTCCAGCTACGGCTCACAGCCTGTGCCCACCCCAAACTCGGCCCTGTGCCAGCATCATTCTGTTCAGGCGGGTGAGCGCCTGTCTTCTAAGAGCTCTTGCGGCCAGACGTCAATAACTGCGTTCTAAAATGTGCCACCTGCACAGGGCTGGCCGGCTGGGACACTGTTCTTTCAGAACGGTCCCACATCCCAGAGCCTGTGCTCATCCTGGAAAAGCGAATACTGGGGAAAGCTCCAGAGACAGTAAAAGGAGGGACGGTTGCCCCACCCTTGCCCCCACCCCCTGCTGCCCAAATGGCCCAGACCCTTGAGATCCGGGTCACCAGCCTCAGCTGAAAGCCAGCGAGGCGCTTCCTGGCCTGCCCTTGGTGGTGTAGGGCATCCCAGTGGGAAGGAGGGTGGCCTTGTACTGTCTGGTTCGGCAGGCTGCAGGGCGACAGTGGACTGTTACACAGGTAAGGGGCTGGAGAGACAGGCCGGCGCTGCTGGTGAACTCTCACCATTCCTTGGGTTATTAGCCAGGTGTCTATAGGCTCCAGGTCAAAGTCCACACCTTTACCTCTCTGCTGGGTCGAGGACACAAGAGTAACGGGAAGACCCAGGACAAAGAAGTCAACAGCACATAGTGTGGCGACAGAAAAACCCTGTTCAGAGTTGGCAGGCTGCCATATGAGGAAATGCAACCCCATGCCTCCCTCCCTGCCCCCATTACCTGCCTGGAGGGAAAAAAAGAGAGAGAGAAAAGTTTAGCAAGCAAAGAACCCCAACAGACACTCCTGTGGACACCTCCCGAAGCCCGGAGCGCCTCCGAGGGGTGAGCGAGGGCCGGCAGGGCCTGCTTCTCCCCGGCAGGGTCAGTAGGAAGCAGCCTTCGGAAAGAACCCGCTTTCACAATGGCACGTCACTCCTTTCTAGCAGTGTCCTCTTTTCCCTCCTTTCCACTTCCTGCAATAGTCTTTCTCTACACCCCTAATCTGACAGCTGAGTTTGGGCGTCTTTTCACTGCCTTCTTTTTCCCGCCGAGATGGAACTTTGAGAGCTGGGACGATGGTGTGGTTGCCCCCTCTCAGCCAGTGCTGTAACACCACTTCCCCTTCTTCTCCGTGCTCCTAGATCCTGCCTTTGCCCAGTTGTGTCCACTTCTGGCCCCGCCTGGCTTGAAAACCCATAATGATAGTCTGAGGGTACCCATCACCACTCACACGTGCGTTTGCATACACAACCACTCGGCTCCTGGACGTGCGTTTGCATACACAACCACTCGGCTCCTGGCACCTCTCAGGCCCTGGGCATGGGTGGCACTACCATGGCAAGCAGTAAACGTGACGAAAGTGTCTTAAAACCTCATGTCGAGGGACGGGGGAGCGGGGAGGGAGGGGAAAAATGAGGACCTAATGCCGGGGATTTAAGTGAAGGGGAAATGTTTTGAGAATGATGAGGGCAATGAATGTACAAATGCGCTTTACACAATTGATGTGTGTCTGGATTGTGATAAGAGTTGTATGAGCCTCTAATAAAATGATTAAAAACAAACAAACAACCCCCCCCCTTCATGTCATTGGGTAAACCTGCTGGTGCTAAGGGGACCTTTGAGAAGTAGCAGGGCTGAGCCCACTTGTTTCCAAAGGGTGCAGGTCTGAAGTTGGCCCCATCGCTGGGTGGGACCTCTGACCAGGATCCCTGCAGGGACACTGATAACCGCAGGGCCACATAAGGACACACCCTGATAGAGCTACAGACAGCCTGGGTAACAAAAGAGGTGGCCCGGGCCAGCGTTCGCCTGGGGGAGGGGACGTCCTCGCCAGGCAGTGCATTGGAAGCCCTCAGCAGGCTCTCACAAGCCCTCCTGGGGCAGCGGCGAGGTGCTGAGTAAAAGGCACAGGGCCATGGTCATCACATATCTTCTGGGAATGCCACTCGAGCCCCTTCTGTGGGAAGGCAGGTGCTGAGGGACCCGGGGCAGGAGACCAGACTGCAGGCTGGCAGTCTGTGCTGCCCAGTGCCTACTGCCAAGGGCCACACCCCTCATCTCTCGGGATCAAATCACACTCACTGCCATCGAGTCGATGCCAACGCACGGCGACCCTATAGGACAGGGTAGAACGGCCCCTGTGGGCTTCTGAGACGGTGACTCTTTATAGGAGTAGAAAGCCTTGTTCTCCTCCTGGAGGGTGGCTGGAGGTTCTGAACTGCTGAGGTTAGCAGCCCAGTGTATAACCACTCTGCCACCAGGGCCTGGACAGATCAGACCTGGTCTTCTCCCAGGTGAGCTTTCCCATAGAAATTGGACACAATGCCGCCTGTCGAGCCCACCCTCAGACACGGGCCACAGAAGAACCAGGAAGCCTGGTGCAGACCCCCAGCCCCTTTGGCCAGTGGAGAGCCTCTGAAGGGAGCTCCTGATAGCCTCCCCTCCCTGACCCTCTGCACTCTGACACACATTCACACACATCCTTACTTCTAGCCCGAGAGAGAAAGCCTCACCACAGGTCTTTCTCCTTGCAATGGCCTGAAGTCTAAAAGACACTATGCACTCAAGCCAGCACCCATCTCCAATTCCACGTCTTCCCCTTCAACTCTGCTCCCCCCAGACCAGGCCCCTCTGGAGGCCCATCGCCCGCTACCCTGCTTGGCCACCCTCACACCCTGCCCTCACTGGGCTGGCACTCTCGGACAGGCAGCACCGATTCACCGTCATGGGGCTCAGACCAGCAGTCACTGTGCCAGAGCTCATTGGAGAAAGGGGCCTACCTCGCCCTGGGAGGCCTGCACCCTGAGAGCCACTCAGGTAGGACCAGCAGGGCCCTGCATCAGACCCTCTAGCTTGTTGCTTGCTCACCAGGTACCCAGACAAGTCTCCCTCCTCACGGAACCTTCAGGCTTTGGGGTTGGGCCGCACTCTTGGACCAGGCCTCTCCCTGGCGTGTCCCTGCCCTTGGTTCTAGCTCCTTCTGCTCCAGGATCCAGCAGTTTCACCACACTGCCGACTTCCACTGGAGGATATCAGCCCGAAAAGCAGAGTTAAAGACCTACCGCTTCGGAGCTCTGCTTCCGACTGTCTAGTGACGAAGCCAGTCCCCTGGCTGCCTGTGGATCCTCGTAGGTCACCCTGGGGACAGCAGCACAGGAAGCGTAAGACACCCCCCCAGGAGGTCTGCAGTACCCTCCTCAAAGGTAGCCTGAGCCTGTCTGGGCAGAGGTGCAAGCTCTAGACTGAGGGGAGTTGGGGCGCTAGACTGGCCCCACCCGCCTCCTTGGGGATCGGTCATTGCTCGATCCCATTTCTTGCTCCTGAGTAACAATCCTGGAACATCACTAAAGCTCAGCGGTAGGGTGGCAATTCAGCCAATCAATTGGGGGAGGGGCTCAATCCAGCCAAGTCATATTCATTCTTATTTCGAAGCCAGCAGCCTGGGTAGTGAGAAAGGTGGCCTCATATGGGATTTGAGGCTGCCACCTACTGTGGGGGGTGGGAGTCTTCCTCTGACCCCCGACTCCTCTTGGTATATGAAAAGCAAATGTTGTCGATGAAAGGCACAGGTGGGCCTTGGATAGTGCTGAGTATAGGACTCAGAGGGTGGAGGGCCGGAAGTCAGGTCCTCCAGAAAGGGGTCTCCTCGCCAGTGCTTAGGGTGAACAGACTTCTCCCAGCATGTGCTGCCTGCAGGTGCAGGGGCTCTCTACCTTCGATTCTACTCCCTCCCTTCCACAGGGCTCACCTAGCCAGCACTGCTGTCAGGGAGCGGTGCCCTGACTACTTGGCACAGGGACCCTTGCTGCCAGGACCAGGTATGTCCTTGCCTGGCTAGCCCTGCCTGCCTCCTAACTTCTGGGGGCACGCAGCTGGCCGAGGGAGTCTGTGTTGTGCAGCAGCGGCAGCAAAGGACGGAGGGAGAAAAAGAGCATCCTGCCCGTGGGACGGCTGGAGAAACCAGTGAGCGTCAGTCCAGAGGTAGCAGAGGCAGGGCGGGCTGGCATTCCCTCAGTATGTGCCCCAAATGCCATGTCCCACGTCCCTGCATCCTAAAGCCCCCGGCGGCCCAGGGCCTGGTCAATCAAGGCCTCTTTGTGTTGCCTGGGATCCAGCCTGTGCCAGTCCCACCCTACCCACCCATCCCCGGCCCCCAGAACCAATGAAAGGGTCCCCACATACATTTTGTGTTGTTCAGCCAAGGAATTCCCTCTCGTCTGGGCAAACATGTCGAAGCCGTCACGGGGGTGACACTGCTGGAGTGAGCTGAGGGTGCCACTGACACTGTCGGTCCCCAAGTCTGCGGGGGCAAAACAAGCCAGAGGAAGGGAAGAAACCGGTGTGGGCTCTCCACCTCACGGGGCCCGAAGCTGGCGGCTCAGGGGTGCAGCTCTGCGGTGGAGGAGTTTCCCCAGTCACCCCCAGAGCGCCCAACTGCAGAGGGAGCCACGGGAGAGGTGAGTGGAGGGTGGGGTCCCCGGGTTGGCACTGAGCCTCAGCTGACAGGGACAGGGGCTGAGGGGTGAAGCTCCAGGTAGCTCTTGAGAAGGGCGGTGGCAGAACCCAACCTGAGTTTTCAAGGTCAAGTCTGGTGCCCAGAAGCCGCATGGCTCCCAGGCACACAGTCCATTTCCAAGGGACAGTGGCTGCAGATACAAGCTCTGGCCATGCTAGCATGAAGGCATCTGATCTCACTGCCACCTCGCAGCAGCCTCCAGGGCCGATCCGAACTGGCCCCTCGGGTCTCTGAGGCTGTGAATCTTCACGGGGCCGAGGTGCAGACCCGAGGTTAGCAGCCCACCAGCCACCAGCACTCAGCCAAAGCTTCCCTCAGCAGAGACAGCTCAAAAGGAACAAGAGCATTGTGAGGAGAATGAAAACAGGATAGAGAAAAGAATTTTGAGGGGGCCATGCCTACTACTTTACCATGGTAGTTTTAGTTCAGTTATAAACGGGCATTCATTACCCAGAGTATTTACAGCATCTAGAGCCACAGCATTGCACTGCTAACTGCAAGACCAGCAGTTCAGACCCACTAGCGGCTTCGAGGCAGAAAGATGAGGCTGACTCCCGTCCATCATTACAGCCTCGGAACGCGGGTGGGTCCCTCTGAGTCAGAATCAGCTTGATGGCAGGGGGTTTGGTTCTTGGTTTAGAGGCAAACACACACTTCCCACGGAATGCAGTGTGGACAAGGGGTGAAGTGTTTGGGTAGATACTATGGTTCAGGGACGGCAAATGTGCAGGTGCTGCCGTTCCTGGTCCCAAGCCAAGGCAGATGTTGCCAATCACACAGATTCATTTTTTAAGCCCTGTACAGGGCGTTAGCGTCCTTCTCAATCCTGAGCTCCAATCACCCACTGAGTTGAAACCTATTTGCTATCCTCAGTCTATAGAGAATACTTGATATTCTGTATCAAGTATGATATAGAAACATAAATCACTTCAACCATAGAGTATTCTAGATAAAACTTAGCAGGCTGCCTTTCTTTATACAAAACAAAGCAACCAACTTCCAGGCCGATCCCCAGCCACACAGGGTTAAACTAAAGAAGTTACGCTGTGAAGGTCATGGAAGTGGCCAGGGCTCAGGAACACACATGGATCTCTTAAAAGGTGCCCCAGGCCTTTCAATAGAGAAGGAAGGGACGCTCAGCCCACACAGGGCCAGGAAAGGGCCTGCAGCAGGTGGCGGGAAGGGGGATCCCGCCAACACTCACCCAAGCCTGCCAGCTGGGAGGAGAGCGTGCCCGGTGGCGCCGTGTTCCCCACCATGGGGCTGACCACAGCCGGAGAGCCGGGGCCCAGGTCGATCAGGTTGTCTTCGGTCACCTCACTCAGTACCTGTGAGATGGGAGAGCCGTGGTGAGCCCGGGTCCTGGGTCACAGAGTGTCCCGAGGAGCAGCAGCTGTGGCACCGCCAACACCGATGCCAGGTTGTATGTGTGTGCGCACGAGTGTGTGTGTGTGTGTGTGTGACTGTGGGGGTGTGTGTGATTGCAAGTGAGAATGTGTGCAACTATGGGTGTGTGACTGTGAGTGTGTGTGTGACTGAGTGTGACTGTGAGTGTGAATGACTATGTGTGACCGTGTGTGTGACTCTGAATGAATGTGTGTTGTGTGTGAGTGTGTGCGCGCTCATGAGCCCAGCCCACCACTCTCCCCTGCACTGCAGGATGGCTGAGTCACCAGTCACCAGGACCTCTGGAACTGTAATTCTCTGCTCCGCGCTGGCTGCCCTACCACCACTGGGGATGTGACCGCTGGCCCTTCCGTCAGAAAGACAGACTCAGGTGCGGCCTGACAGAGGCGGGTCTCCCTGACAACTGTGCAGCAGATGTGGCTCAGCCTCAGGCACTGAGGGCATTCTGGAAGAATACTTACTCCATTAGTGGCCTTTTGTCCGGAGAGACCTGACCTGTATCGTTCAAACCTACAGGGGAAGGAGAAGCCGAGGTTAGGGGCGAGGTGGCTGTCTGTGGTCCGCACAGGACTCCCGGGCTGGGAACACTCAGGTGCTGAGGGTGCTAAGCGGCCAGCCAGGCAAAGGCTCTCAGAAGGAGGCCAACGTGTCCCATGTCAGAGTGGGGATGGGGCAGGGGCAGTCACACTCACACAGACACACATTTCTTTGTGTGGGCCTCCAGGAGGAGGCAGCCTCCCTGCCTCTCACGTGGGCACCCTGTGGCGGGGGGTCAGGAAGGGAGCTGTGATAAGAAACCTCTCCAGTCACCCCCGACCTGGACCCAGAAAACTCCTCTTGCCTTGCCTCCTCACCAAGGCTGTCTCCAATGTCTGTCTAGTAAGCACAACCTTCCGATTTTACAGAGTCCTCCTGTGGGGTTATTAGCTCAGGTCTCTAAAATGCCCTGACTTCTGGGGACTGGAGAAAGGAGTGCTACTCCTTGGGAGATGATTAGCTTTCATCTGGTCGACCTGCTGGCGGGGTGGGGAGGGCTGTGAAGGGGACAAGAGGAGGAGGGCAGGCTTGGGCTCTGGCCATCGTCTGGCAGAAAGCTCTCGACAGAGCGGTCAGTGAGGCGCCGCTGCCAGGAACAGGGTGGGTCTGTGGGAGCTTCTTCTGCCCTGGCCAGTCAGCCATGGAGGGACTTGGCTTTGAGCAGCCGCGGCAGGTCTCTTTTCTCCTCCTGGACCTCATCGCTCTCTGACCAGGTGCAGAACATGAAAGCTTCAGGGGGAGAGCAGGTGAGGGGGCAGTAAATGTCTGCCTTTGTACTGAAATACCCCACAGCACCCTGGGCCAAGAAGCAGCTGCGAGGCACCTGCAGATGGGGCCAGAGCAGGGGCTCCAGTGGGATCTGCTGCTCTATGCTGGTCCTCGGGCACCCAGCTCCCCCGGCTGAGCAGAGGAAGCGAGGCAGTGTGTGGTGACTGTGGTTGTAAGGAGTACTTTCAAGCCGTCTTTACGAGAAGAACAGGCCATTAGGATGTCTGGAATGTCTCGAAGCCGTGGGCACCTCACCCTCACTATCTTTAAGGGGCATTTTCTCCAGAGCACTGGCACTGTGCTGACACCTGGGGACAGCACATCCTTGGAGCCTTCGTAACTCTGGGACTAGCACACTTTGGGGTGACACTGCCCATACCAGCCCTGGCTGTGTCATGTCGGGCTGCTCACGCCCAGGTCAGCAACCCCAAAGCACCGGCAGCTCTGCGGGTGAAAGATGAGTCTTTCTACTCCCACAAAGAGTTAACAGTCCCGAAGACCCCCAGGGGCAGTTCCACCCGTCCTGAAGGGTCACTGTGAGTGAGTCTACCCGATGGCTTTGGTTTTGGAGAGAACTCCTGTTAACGTACTCTCGGGTGGGTTTAAACAAGTGTATCGAGTTAAAGCCCAAGCCCACTTAATATGCAGAAACTGGAACCCCACGGGGGACAAAGGGGACTTGGCTGGGAGTCAGGGTTCAGCAGACCTGCTCCTATTCTCCACAGACCTTGGGACCTCCTGGTGGCCCCAGGATCTCACAAAGGGTAGCGGTTTCTTCATCTGTTAAGTGGGCACAGGCCTCTCTGTCCTACTTACACATTAGAAAGCTGAGAGGAAGCCCATGGCTGTGACAACCATGACAAAGTCACCCTCTGCACCCCAACGCGTTATGCAAATCCACGCTTCTGTCTCGCTGAACCCACTGATGCTGTTTATCACCCTCACCAAGAATGCAAATAAGCTGCGAGTCACCTGGTACCAACAAAGGGGCCAGGACACCCAAACCCAAGGTCTCCTGCCTTCCTGGGCCTTGTCTTTGTCAGGAGAGGCTGCTTCTCACATGGGGCAATTGGGATTGCCCACCACAGAGTGCCCACCAGGTGAGCAGCTGCGGGTGCAACCCGCCATTGTACCTCCTCTTTAACGCCTCTCTCTGCAAGAGGTTCAGAGGCTCTGGAGAAGGCTTGTTATCTCCAGCCCGAAATTCATTTGGCTGCACAAGCAATGAAAAGAGGGTTGGGTCCCCAAGCAACCGCTTCCGAACACTTAGCCTGCCCACATCTCCTGCACTCAAAACACTGGCATTTGAAAAGAAAATTCTTTTTTTCCTTAAAAGATGGGGGGGAGGAAATCCTTTTTCTTAGTACAGTTTTTTTTTTTAATTCCTTTAATCCTTTCCGCATTCAAAAGGCCATCAAAGGAGCAGGTGCAGCAGCCCCACCCTCCTGGGGCCAGGTAGAGAAAGCGGAGCAGCCTCAGGCTTACAAAGGGCAGAGCCTAATTCTGCCATCAGCTTCCTGCTGCCAGCTCCCTGGAGAAGGAGGAGCCCTTTCCCTGTCACCTGGGAACAAATGAGCATCTCTGGCTAGCGTTTCCCACTCTCATCCCTCTCCTGTGTTGATGAAACAAGCCCTGTGTTATGGCAACAGTGTCCTCAGGGGAAGGAGCGAGCCTGGCCCACCTCTCATAGCGCAGGAAGACGTTGTTGAGGTCGTCGTTCACGTGCAGCAGCTCCTCCGTGACCTCCTCATTGGACACTCGGGAGATGAGCTCCACGATGCGCTGCTGCATGGCCCGGCACGTCCTGTTCAGCTCCTAGGGGACACAAGCACTGCTCGGAGCCTGGGCCTGCTTTTCCCACCGTCCACTGCCTGGGGAAAAGGTGGGCTGTTCCAAACAGCCACAGAAAGAGCACTTGCTGGTTGATGCAAACAACAGTCCTGTGTGGAACACAGCC